ACACATATATATATATATATATATACACATATATATATATATATATACACATATATATATATATATATATACATATATATATATATACACATATATATAAAAACTGTAAAGGTTTTAGTTTTAATGTTTTTCAATCATATATTCAATAATTCATTGTTATTTTTCTTAATGTAGTTTTTCTAAATTAATAACCATATTAATTATACATATGCATGTATATATATATGTGTGAATGAAATAAATATATACTGTATGTATATATACATACATGTATATATACATATATATTATATATACATATATATACATACATGTATATATACATATATATTATATATACATATTTATTTATTTCTCAATCTTTCTAGTAGAGAAAAGAGCCTGGATACTTGCAATCCTAAGGCAGAGGACAGTTTACAAAGACAACAGCAGCAAAACAAATATCAGCAAACGTGTTTATTAACTTGCAGTTGGGAGGGTGACTGCCAAAATTGTCCAAATCACATTGAGAAAATGATGAACAGAGAAACATTTATCAATGTTAACACATGGATGCAAACTTAGAAGATTGACAAATTTTACACAGCAGAATATATACCGTACATATTCACATAGAAATCATTTACATGGATGTCTTATTTCAATTTAAATAAAAGAAAGAAAAAGGTGACATCACAATAACACATCAGAAGTGTATTGTCCTCTCTACTGGTTGTCCTATTAATAAAGGCTTTATATAGGAGTAGAGCTAATGTAACTGTAACCTTAAGTACAGGATGGTCAGATGGAGATATTAAAAATGGACTAATGTCTTAATCCAAAGCTACGGTTGCTGAATGTTTGTCCCTGGTGATGCGGCCGTCGTTCTTCCCCCCCTCAGCTTGATGAACTGAGCCGTTTGCTCCTGGCTCCCTAAACAAAACAAAATGTAGTTAGTTTTATTTCACACCACAAAACAAAACGTGCAAAATACAGTTTTGCACAGTTTATTCAGTTTATCCTTGTAATTAATCTCGTTTGTAACGTTACCGGACTTAAAGTGATATTTCAGGTTCACAACCTGAGCTCCTGTTGGTCCGTTTAAGGACATAATATGAAGTATAAATGATCTGTAAAATCGTCACAATCTCAGTAAGATATTATTCAACCTCTGAAGTTTGAAAGTGAAGGCAAAACAAGTTACTTTACAAGGCTTAACTACGGTCGGATACAGGCAGACCAGCTACCGCTAACGTTAGTTAGCTTGCCAGCTACAAATGTCACGTAACTTAACCAATGATTTTAACAAACATGTGATGTTATAGCATGTAACGTTAGCCCACTGTGGGCTAACGTTACATGCACTTTGCCTGAGGCATGGCTACGTTAGCTAAGGTTAGCTGCACATGTATGACACAATTTAAAATAAATCCTATGAGCTTAGTTTTCTCCGACCGAAAAAGCGGAGCTTCATGTCGTTCTTTAAAAAAAGAGACACTAACAACATGAAAACAAAGTGAAGTGCTGCTACATTTAAAATCATTTTGACAAAACAGAGCAGTATAATGTCAATTTACCTCCATGTCACCGTAACCTCCCGTCTGTGTATAATGGATGCAGATACCGAGAGCCAAGTCAAACCGACCAATAGAAACTCCCGGCACATTCAGCAGCGTATGCCCCGCCCATGAAGGTATGTTTGTGTCTTTATTACACAAACAAAAAACTCAACTCAGCTTTTCGTTTTCAAACCAAAGCTTTTTTTTTTTTAAATCAAAGATTGTTTTTTTAACCAAAGATTTTATTTTTTAACCAAAGATTTTATTTTTTAACCAAAGATATATATTTTTTTAACCAAAGATATTATTTTTTAACCAAAGATTTAATTTTTTTAACCAGAAATTCTAGTTTCATAAGCAAAACTAACAAATAAATTATTCTCAGTTTATATATTTTCACTTACAAACTTGATCTTTGATTGCAGTGCGAGAAATTTGCTTTTAAAACGTTTTTTTTTGTTTGCGTAATAAAGACACAAATATACCTTCATATGTCTTCACCTGGAAAAGTATTTCACAAGACATGGCTCGAGAAAGACCAGGATCCCTCACTGTACTTTTAACTTGACGCCGATCTTGACCAGTGGAGCGGAGGGGCCCCGGACGTTTTCCAATGCTCGTGGCCCCGGCAGCCCAAGAAAAAGGTTTACTTTAAAATTGTGTCTTTAGAACTTTTTGTGGCTGGTGAAAATTTGGGAAAACCACTAACCACACTGGCTGGTATGGAAATAAAAGTGAATTTCAAGCTTAAGATATACTGAAGAGTTTCACATGGATTCTTTCAGATGTTTCAGAGAATGTCTGCTCATGAAAGTTAAAAATGTTTATGAACCCTGTTAAAATAGACATGTGAACATTCCTTCTTCTGCAAAAATGCCTGATTTCAGTTTGACTCTGTCCAGATCAAAGGTCATTTCACCTCTCTCACTGTCGTGTCACCGTCTCTCACCATGTGTTCTCATGTTTATTCAATCTATTTCTACAGAATATGTCCACAGGGGTTAAACACACGTGTCCAAACCACAATAATCCATCTTCCCTTCCTTTTTCATCCTACCCCCCCCTCTCTCTCTCCCCGCCCCTCCATCTCCAGGTCAATGTGTTTGTCCTGCTGTCTTTGGTGTGTGTGCTCCTTAACCTGGCTGGATTTATCCTGTGCTGCCAGGGAGCCCAGCTGGTGTCCAGTATGACCAGCTGCCAACTGGTGAGGCTGTTCCCCGTTTTGTGTCTTGTCTGGTTTTGTAGATTTCCTGCATCCTCTCTCCTTCACGGCATCTCTGCTTCACTCTGTTCCTCCTGTGGAGAGTCAATGGGATCATCCTTCCTGGTGCGATGTATTCCATGTTGAACCAGTTCACTGGAGAATAACCAGAAAGCAACCTCCGGTTATGCCCAGTGAGGCCGATGCAGAAGTGTCTTAAAACGTGCATTCTCTCTACTGACCAGCAGGGGGCGACTCCTCTGGTGCCAAAAAGAAGTCTTATATAGAAGTCTAGGCCCTAATCCCAAAGGCCCTAGTCCAGAACTCAAGGCTTCAAAATGCCACTCCACAAACCAATGAGTGACGTCACGATGACCACGTCCACTTCTTATATGCAGTCTATTTTTCAACCTGGACCCTGTTTTCCTAGGTTTTTGTGACTAATGGGGACAATCATTTTTTCTCTCTTCCCTCCCAAACAAAGAGCTGAATCCCACTCGACTGTCCCTTCCCACCTCCCAGTCAAGATGGCGGCGAAATAATAACAAAGACTGCTATTTATTTATCTTGTAACTTTAGTGGATCATAACATATCGGGGTATGGAATAAATCTGTACATACCTCGGTTCAAAATGAGATCAAACTTTTCTATGGTTATCAGTTTTTCGAGCCACGACGAAGAACAAAATGTGGCCTGCAACAGATGGCTCAGGGTGTATATTTCGTCTTCCTTGAACACACAGTATAACTACGTCTGCAGTGTGTCATTGGGCGCATTGTACAGCGTCACTCTTGGCTTTGACCTGGTAACACGAGATCTTTGCAGATCAGGCTGCAGGAAATGTGATGAGTCTTGTTTTTCGGGCCAGAGCTCCTCCGTGTGACCTTTTGACTCTTCCTGCTGTTGTGTTGTCTTTCCTTCCTCCCTCTGCCAGGCCTCCACTCCACTCTCTGTCACCGTCACTCTGGTCTCCACACATCTTTTTGTCCGTCTGTCCTGTATGTGAGGGCGTTGGAGGTTTGGAGCCTTTGTTAAAAAAGAACTACATTCATTTTTTAAACTCCTGCATTCTTAAACTCGTGCGCAACCAGACGATAAAATGGGATTAAAGGAAGGGGAAAAAGCTCCTGCCGTTGATGTGCCAGTGAATTATTATATTATATATTCATCGTAGTTAAATACCACTAATGTCAACCTTTCGTCTGCATTCTCCTCTACATCTACCGGCTTTAAAGCAGGAAGGAAGTGGAGGTAACGCCTCTAACTTCATTTGATTGGCTGACCAAGTGTGACATTGACGAACGGTGGGACTCCGCGCCTTGCGCTGAAAAGTTTTAAAATGACCATGTCATACAGCATATACATAGTTCCATATTTTATATTTTAAACGGCACGTCTTTCTTTCCCTCCCTTCTTTCTTTCTATCCTTCCTTCCTTCCTTCCTTCTTTACTTCCATATCGCACCTGAATCTTTCCAAAGTGCGATTTGTTCATAATTTCAGCAGCCTAGCTTAGCATAAGGACTGTAAACAGGGGAGAAAAACTTTAAAATCATTAAAGGTTAGGGGGGGGGGGCACCAGAATATTTAGGATTCAGCCTCTCGGGACCACGAACATCCCCAGCAAGGGTCCTGATATATTCTTGCCACCGTCAGTACATAGATTATTAGAATGTGTCGAATCCCTTCTTACGTACAGTCTGTGGTTGTATGTAGCTGCTTGATTTAGCTGCTTAGCATACTACTTATTATTTAAGCTGTATATGAAGAAGAGACCTTGATCTTTCTGGGATGTTGTGAATTCAGAAATGTTTTAAATCATATCAAAATCAACCCTGTGTGTGTGTGTGTGTGTGTGTGTGTGTGTGTGTGTGTGTGTGTGT